TGCCTCAGGATTGGCTTGCTTCGGAACCTGAACTATTTATAGGGAGTGAAGCAGTTAAGCACCTTGACCGCTTCAGTTATCTGGGGAGTCTCATCAGTGCCGATGGCCTAGTGACTGACGAAATCTCAGCACGGATACAGAAGGCTCGATTGGCTTTTGCCAACTTGCGTCACTTATGGCGTAGGCGAGATATCCGTCTGCTAACCAAAGGACGGGTCTACTGCACAGCAGCTCGCTCCTTCGCTGCGAAACATGGCCAGTCAGAGTAGAAGATATTCGTACGTAACTAGTTTTCGATCATAGGTGTCTCCAAAGCATTGCTCGTTTATCTTGGGTACTAGGTAGGGATGGCAAATCAATAGATGAATTAATGAAACTTCATCATTTGAGGTGGTTGAGACACGTGCTACAAATGTTCAATCACCGACTGACTCATCGAGCTTTGTCTTGTGGTGCAGGCGTAGGTTGGGAGATAGCTTGGAGCAGTCAAAACAAAACATGGCAGAAATCCATGTAGTAACTGACATGTGGATTGAGTCATGTTGGTAAGTGTAGACTACCTGATTGGGGTCCGCGAGGTGATAGTAATCGATTGTTAAAGACCCTGAATGACATGGCTCAAAACCATCTGCAATGGCGCAGGTGCATCCACTGTTTGTGCTCTCTCAAATCCTAATCTTCTGAATTCCTCATGTTCGTTTTTTCTCTTTTTTTTTACCTGATTACTCTGGGGTATATGTCTGGAATGATAAATTCGATCATTAATCTTTTTGATGAATGCTAATACTTCTGTTACCACAGGATTCTAAATGACGATTGCGTCCCTCTGCTTATGTGGTATGGCAACTTGAACTGATGTCCGCACGTACCTACGAAGTCCTGCGTTGTAACTTACTGACTAGAAAATCTATGAATTTTGCCTCATATCCTGTAAACTCCCATAAGCTGACCTTAGGAGTGAAACAGCTTTTCATGTTCCTCGCCCATTGTCCTTTATTCAGTGTTCAGGTGTAGTACACTTTGGTAAGTCAATATTAAACGTCCAGACAGCTGCGTACTAGACAATTTTCGTGAAGTCACTGACTTACTTATTCATCCAGTGTTTTTAGGTACCATGATTGACAGTACGTACGTGCGAAGCTCTGCGTTGTAACTGACTGTCTGACGAGCTTCTCATTCATCGCTAACGATTTCTTTCAAATTTCTCCTACTTCATTATGGTTTGCACGACGTCTTTGTCTTTCTGTTTTCCATTTTGTTCATTTGTTTTAGCTGTGTGCATGTGTTGTAAAGTGTGACAAATTGGACTTTTTTTATATATTTTTATAAATTCCTGTGACTTTTACCGTTAATTAACTGACAAGTTTAACTATGTCATATGTTACTTAATCCTAAACAAAGCGATGACCCTTGGTGAAAAACTATTTGTAAACCAGGGTAGCACCAAACATCTATGAGTCTTAACATTCCCAATGACTTTTTAAGTGATATACACTTATATTAGCATCAAGACTTGTGTCAAACATGATATTATTAAGAGCTGTTTAGTTCATTGGACTACATTCATTTTAAAAAAGTAATTCATGGTTTTTAAGTAGATATCTTCATCAGACATGCGTAACTGTCTACATCTAATTTTCCATAGTTCTCTGGTTGATACTTCTTTTTGTAGTAAAAAAATTACTCTTTTCTTTTTAATTGATGTAGAAATGTTTACACAACCAACTTGTTTAATAAATTAAAAATACCATTTTAATTTCAGTCATTTTGTTATGGTTGAGTGATCAACCGATTGTAGATCAAGTGTAACACTACGTCATCTAATATTTGTTTGTTTTTTCTCAAAGAAAGTGAGGAGTGAGTGTATTCACCAAAACGTTTTTAATCAAATGAGACGTATATATATATATATATATATATATATATATATATATATATATATATATATATATATATATATATTTACGTAATTAATAAGGCTTGTTTAAATAGACTTATTTTCAATGTGTTTTATTTTAAAGTAAATAGAAATCATGCAGAAATAAATAAAGTGTTGCGAATGTGCAGTGAAAATAAAATTATTGAATTGAAATTTTGTTTATTTCAGTCATTCATTCGAAAATGCACGTAATTTATTAATAATAATAATAATGGTATCCTTATCAATGCCGAACTTGGAGTTGTCGTTCTCAGTTTTTCAGTAAACCTGTTGCCGCTAAAATTCATCCATGTTAAATGAAAGGCAGTTGTTAACTTCGATAGCGATAGATAATGATCTCATGACATTAGATATTGACTGAAGTTTTTTTGCTTATGTATATCACTGGATGCCCTTGCGTTGAATAATGGGGTTGATAGGATCGACTTTGGGTGAGTTGGTTTGTACGTGCTTCTGAGAAGTTCCAAACTTGGAGTTGTCTTGAAACGGTTGATCATTGGTGGGACGCTAGCCTGTTGTGTTTATTTACATTATAATCAATAGACATACAACTAGCATATCAAACTCAATAGACAGACAGACAGACAGTCCAGGTTGCCATGCCCCATTAACACAGAGACGCAACTGTCAGTTCAAATCCAAGAGTGATAGCAATAATAGAAGTATTAACAGTAATGGAGAAGATTAGGGAGCGAAGACATGATTCGAGAAGTATTATTCAGTAAGATAAATTTAGAAGCAGAAAGATAGAGATTATGAGGAATTCAGAAGCTTAGAATTTCATAGAACACAAAGAGTGGATGCACCTGCGCCATTGCAAACGATTTTGAGCCATGTCATTCACGATCTCTAACAATCGGTCACTAACCTCTTGATGATCCCAACCAGGTAGTCGACACCTACCAATATGAGTCGATTCAGTTATCAATGACGTCATGGATTTGTGCCATGTTTTGGTTTGGCCGCCCTTAGTTTTCTTTCAGCATACTCCTACATCGCGACACATAGCTCTACGAGGCAGTCGGTGGTTAGGCATACGCAATACATGTCTCAACGATCCCAATTGATGAAGCTTCAATACTCACAAATTCTATCTTCCAATCAATTTTCAACAAATCACTATTCTTAATTCATCCCTCTTCAGTCTAATTTCTACCTTTACGACCATATCCTTCATGCTTGAATTTCCATCAAGCTGAATTCCTTCTCATTATGACTATTATTTGTGGCGATTTTGACCGATACATATTAGTATCAGATCTTAAGTTGATCCGGACTGACTCCCAATAAAAAATTCAATTTGTTGGCTGGTCTCCAAAGTACTAAATTTCATTGAAATTATGAACTGATCAATGTAAGATCACCGCTGAAAAACTGGAAGCACTGGGTGGCCTTTCGTCCCTGTATGGAACTCCTCAGCAGTGGGTTTATGCGCGAGACTGAAGGTTCTGGTGTAATGAATGAAGACTCCAAAACTAGGTGGACTGCTAATGTATTTGAAGAAGACTCCACCCACTAACAAAATATGTATAATTTGTTTTCAGACTTCCATTTGTGGAACAAGGAGGTTATTGCCTGCTGATCTTCAAAGACTTTCATCACGCTATACATTGTGACAAGACACTTCTCTCTTACTTACTTACTTACTTACTTACTTACGCCTGTTACCCCCAATGGAGCATAGGCCGCCCACCAGTTTTCTCCAACCAACTCTGTCCTGGGCTTCCCTCTCCAGTTCTGTCCAATGTTTGTTCATTCTTCTCATATCTTTCTCTATTTCTCGGCGTAGTGTGTTCCTTGGCCTTCCTCTTTTCCTTTTGTCTTGAGGGTTCCATGTGAGGGCTTGTCTCGTGACGCAGTTAGGTGCTTTTCGTAGTGTGTGTCCTATCCACTTCCACCGCTTCTTCCTGATTTCCTCCTCCACTGGAATCTAGTTTGTTCTCTCCCACAGTTCGTTGTTGCTGATGGTGTCTGGCTAACGAATCCGAAGTATTTTGCGTAGACAGCTGTTAATAAACACTTGTATCTTCTGAATGATGGCTTTGGTAGTTCTCCATGTTTCCGCTCCATACAGTAGAACTGTCTTGACATTTGTATTGAAAATCCTGATTTCGGTTTTGTTTGAAAGTTGTTTGGAGTTGCAGATATTTTTCAGTCATAGAAATGCAGCCCTTGCTTTTCCGATCCGCACCCTCACATCTGCATCTGATCCACGTTTTTGGTCGATGATGCTGCCCAGATATGTAAAGGTGTTAACATCCTTCCAGGCATCTCCATGAATAGTGATTTGGTTGTTGAATGTTGCGTTGCATCGGAGAATTTTGTTTTTTCCTTGATGTATGTTGAGACCTACTGCTGCAGAGGCTGCTGCTATACTGGTCCTCTTCTCTTGCATTTGTTGTTGTGTGTGCGATAGAAGAGCCAGGTCATCTGCGAAGTCCAGATCGTCCAGCTGCGTCCTAACTGTCCAGTTGATACCGTGCTTCCCTCCAGATGTTGACGTCTTCATAATCCAGTCGATGACCAGGAGAAAGCGAAAGGGTGAGAGTAAGCAACCTTGCCTGACTCCGTTCTTTACCTCAAAGGAGTCTGTCAGCTGACCTCCGTGCACGATTTTGCAGTTGAATCCATCATAAGAATTCCGTATGATGTTGACTGTTTTCTCAGGCACACCGTAGTGTCGAAGAAGCCTCCACAGTGTAGGCGACATCTCTCTGCATGCTATTTCTAAACCAAATTGTGAGTGGAATCCCCCCACACTCGGGTCGACTGTCACCTGCTCCATCGCGGTTGTACATAGCATTAAATTCTCAATCTAGGATAAAAAATGACCGTAATGTGCTTTCTGGACTTCAACGGTGGTCTAGCATTAATCAGTTTTCAATTTCCATGAAACTTGATAATCTTCACAATCGTCCTCATAGTGATGATGATGATAAATTTTAATCATTGAATTGATTTATTGATTTTTCACACCTTTTATTTTATTTTCTCACCTTCACTGATTGTGACTTATTCATTTAAATATATTTTTATTTATCTATTTAACAAATCAGCAACCAAACAGAATTTTATACCTACCGGTGAATCAGAATTAAACACTTCATTAGGAACGCCACCGAAAATTAAACAATCATACAAACAAACGGATTCAATGAGACGAAATAGTCAATCCAATATACCAAATCGAATAATCACTAGTGCTAAACTCAGTCAAAATTCCAACCTAATGCCACCACGTAAATTATCAATGTTCAGTAATTCACAAAATCCATCGAATGATGAGACAGATGCAACAGACTGTATATCCACATTGTCTGGTGGAACTTCTCAAACAATGGAATATAGTGAATTTACTAAACCTCATCGTGGTTCTGATCGAAGTGCTGCTTCTGGACGATCTAAAAGTGAGAGTTACCTGCGTTTTCTTCTTATGATAAAATATTATAGCCAGATGAAATCTTCAGTGCTTTTTGTGTTAGGATTTAATTTAGTTTTAGTGAAGAATCGTACGTCGTACTTTAAGAAATAATAAATATAGAATACATTCTTCAATTGTTTGGTTGAGTGCTTAAGTATCCGTGAATTAGGTCTACAGTATAAAAACTAGTTATAATGGTTTATTTACTCGAATAGCTGCTCAGATTTTAACAAGTTGTTCATTGCATACAAAAGAAGGCTGCTTCAAACTATTGAGTTTTGCAAGTGAAACAAATCATAATATTGAATAAGTATTGGCTTTATAATGGCCGGTTTTCAATATGTCAAAATGAATTTATCGCTTACTCACACCGGATATATATATATATATATATATATATATATATATATATATATATATATA